TTTAAAAAAAATTAGTACTATCTGGCTTGCTCTGCCTTGTTTGGCTCTTATTATTTCTTTTTGTTTTGAGGTTTAGCTCTTCGGAGAAAACAGTGAAATGGGTTCCTCTTGCTGCTCCCTTTCTCCATGCTTATTGTTCAACAAGCTTTCTCATTTATTATCGACTATAAGGGGCAGCAAATAGGGTATGTTTTGTTACTGTGACCCATTTTTGTCTGATGTGTTGTTGGCTTGCAAGAATCTGCAGATTTGTGGCATTTTTTGGATGTTTTTTTCTTTGGAAAATCTTCTTGATTTGCTTGGTTTTCTTTGGTCTTTTCCAGGTGTCTGAATCTCTTTCAAAAGAGATTCTACTCTCCATGCCATTTTCATGCTTCTGAGTTATTTTATGGCTTAGAATATTTTGAAGTTCAGCTTTGAGTTAGTGCTTATTCTTCAGTTGAGGGCTTTTTTTTTTGGAAAAAAGAGAGAAAATGGGCTGTGTTGCATCAAGAATTGATGAAGAAGAGAGGGTGAGAATTTGTAAAGAACGCAAGAAGCTGATGAAGCAATTATTATCTTACAGGAGAGAATTTTCTGATGCTCAAGTAGCTTACTTGAGATCACTTCGAAACACCGGCATAACTTTAAGGCAGTTCACCGAGTCCGAATCATTAGAACTCGATGACTCGGCCTCGAATATCCGATTCCCCCCTTCCCCTCCGCCACCTCTTCCGCCTTCCCCTCCGCCCCCACCCACTTTCAGCCCCGATTCCTCGAAATTCAAAAACCACAAGCCAAGCGAGTCCCTATCGTCAGCAGATGAAATAACCGAAATCGATGAGGAAAGCAGTGGCACTCCGCCTCCTCCCGTCCCAACTTCTTCTTGGGAGTATTGGGACGTGTTTGGCTCCGCCTTGCCACATTGCGTGAAAAGTGAGGATGATGAGGAGAATTGGGTTGATGCGAATACCGAATTCGTGGCAGATGATGAGGAAAGTTCGGATTTTGATGGCAACGGTAGAGTTAGTAGTGTGGGCGTTGAACTAGTTGAAGATAGCTCGTCTGTGGTGAGCTCTTCGGATATGGCTATGGTGGTGTGGAGAGGGAGGAAGAAGAATTTGGCTGGTGTGGTTAAGGATTTAGACGAGCATTTCCTGAAAGCTTCGGCTGTGGTGAAGGATATCGCCATTTTCATAGATATCGAGGCTGGTGGGACTTTCGTTTACCAGAGTTTCAAGGAGAATAAGAGTAACTAACTAAACTACCTTTATTTATCCTTGTTATAATTAGTGCATTATTACATGCTTTGTCATTGTGTAACTACCTTTTATCCTTGCTGATATTTTGTTGTATGTGAAGTTATAACTACAAGAATAACTGGTTTACAATGGTCAAAAGCGTCTTTTTTCGTCAAGTTTTGCAAATTGCTCCCATCGATCTTTGTCGAATAGGGTACTTGTAATTTTGACAATATAGTCGGACCTTATATGTTAATTAAGCTGAACCACAAGGATGGTATTAGCAATTATCCGAGGCCCTGCTGACTAAATTGTTGTAATGTGCTACACGAGTTCATTCATGTCTGCATCTGCTGACTAAATTGTTGTAATGTGCTACACGAGTTCATTCATGTCTGCATTTCTTTGTAAGAAAAAGTTGTTCGATAAGATTATTTAGGGTGCTCGAATCATTTACAGGGAAGAGAAGCAATCCAGCTAAGGTTTTTAGTGCCCTCACTTGGAGTTGGTCATCACGATCACTTCAATCTCCTAAAGATAGTGGAAATTCTCATGAATCTAACGACCCCTGTAAGCCGGGTGCTCATTGCATTACTCTCCAAAAGCTTTATTCAGAGGAGCAAAAACTCTACAAGGATGTTAAGGTGATTCGATTCGAGTAAAACTATACGAGTCTACCTTCATATTGTTCTTGTACATCTTATACTCGATATAGCGTGTTTAAATTAGGCTATGTTTGATAAAATTAGCTGATAAGCTAGCTTATAGCTAATATAAGTATTTTTGAGCTTATATCTTATAGCTTATGACTTATAGTTGAAAAGATAGCTTATATGAAAAAAATGTTTGGTAAAATTAGCTGATAAGGTAGCTGAAATAAAAATTTGAACGAGCTTATTTGAAAAGCTACCCAAAAGAAGCTATGATATAAGCTCGAGCTATTTAAAAAAGTTCGTCCTACCAAACGAAGCTTATTTGAGTACATGAAGCTTATGATATCAGTACATTTATCTGTATATTTCGATTGTTATAAAATTCTATGATTACTTTTCTTCATTTTTTTGTTTCCTTTTGATATCCCTTTAATAGGAGGAAGAAATGGCCAAACTGGAGTATGGTAGAAAGTCGGTATTATTGCAGCGATTGCATGAAGAGCACGATTATGCCAAAGCTGAGAAAGCACGTTTAGCATATGAAAGCTTGGAATGTTACATATTATCTCTGCAAGACTCAATTCGAAAGTCATCATCGAACTTATTGACCCTCATTACCAAGGAGCTCCATTGTCAGCTGATCACACTAACTTCAGGGTAAAAAAAATCGAAATACGTTAAAGGCTGATTTTTTTTTTTTTCAGTTACACGATTGTAAAAGATAACTTTGTGCATTGTACTATTTTCACAGACTGATGCATATGTGGCAAACAATGCACGATTGCCATGAACTTCAGAGTCATATTTCTCAGCAGCTGAATCATTTAGCCGATCAACAGAAGATCGAGCCGACTACTGAGTCTCACCGTCAGGCGGCTGCTCAGCTTCAGACAGAAGTCAACTCTTGGTACCTTAGCTTTTGCAAGCTTGTTAAATTTCAACATGAGTACGTGAGGGCTCTATGCAAGTGGTCTGAACTTACGCGTTATCTCCGAGATATTGACTGCTCAAGAATTGATGGCTTGAAAAAAGTGCATACTCTTGCCCAAAAATGGCTGCAGGCACTTGATACTTTGCCTGATAAGGTAAACTCGTGGTTCGAATAATAAGAGCTTTTTGAGAGAGAGAGAGAGAGAGAGAGAGAGAGAGAGAGAGAGAGAGAGAGATGTGCTTCAGAGATTTTTTTTCTACTGTTAGCATTTTGAATTTCACAACCAGATAATGCACTTTACAACTCATTTTACCGCATCTTTTTTTTTTAATCTTTTATCTTCTATTTTACACGATGCTCATCAAAAGCTCTCGATTTCCTTATTCAACAGGCAGCAGCGTCTTTACGAATGCAACCAGTTTCTACTTGTCAAATTAGGTTTTACTTTTCGCATACTCCACAAGTCATCTGTATAGTTTGAATAATTCACTTTTGGCCCGTGCAGATAGTTTCTGAAGCTATTAAGGGCTTCTTATCAACCGTCCACACCATTGTCGTGCAGCAGCATGAAGAATGCAGCATGCGCAAAAGATCCCAAAGGCTAGAAAAGAAACTCGAAAGAGAGCTTGCTTTACTTTCGGAAGTTGAGATGAGATTATCCGGAAGCTTCTCGACCGAAGATTCAAACTCTGTACTGACTTCTTCCAACCACCCTTTGACAATCAGGCGTGCGAAAGTCGAAGCTTTGAAGGTGTTAGTGAACAGCGAGAAGGTTAAGTACATGAATTCTGTTAAAACAACGAGGGTTATGATTGTTAATAGCCTGCAAACGAGTCTCCCCAAGGTTTTTCAAGCGCTTACAGTTTTCTCGAGTGTTTACGCCGATAATTTCGAGGAAATTCTCAGCGATCATGAAGACGTGCAGCACACTCCAACTCGTGTAATTTAAAGTTTTTGTGATAAAACTTGGTGTTAATGTAATGTACATTCTGCTATTACAGTTGAAGATTATCATCATCAACATCATCATCCCAATTCTCTTCTGTACCATTTTTCATTTGCTGGAACCCGTTTCCCAATCTGCTCATCTCAGCAAGTCCTGAATGAACATATAAAAAAATAATCAAATAAAAGTTTCACCAGCAAAATGAAATAAATCAAACACAGAATTATACAATTGAGGTTTTGTACTTGGTTTTGCAATTATCTTCCCAAAGAGTCCAATGGATCATAAAACATAAATGCATTGTTTGAGGAAATACTTGTGAGTTATAAGTATCAAACACAACAAGATTTTTTATTTTATTTTTTTCTTTTAATAAAATTCAGCAAACTCTCCAGCTAGTTTAAGTAATAATAATAATAAAAAAGCGCGAACACATACCTTCGATCACTCTGTATAAGGCCGACCACCATCGATAATACGGAACCTCAAAACGATCGAGCGTATCCTCAATAACTCTGTTGTGTTCACCCATCAACACTTTCTGCAGAGTTACAATTGCTTCATTTGTTTTGCGGATAATAGTAATGCTGTTCTTCTCATCTTCACAATATGGAATCTGAAGATTCTTTAACGAGGCTTCGAGATTTAAAGCAAGAGCATGCCGAGTGGCTTCATTCCAGCGGGACGATATGTGGGCCCCGTTTTTAGGTCTGTTAGTATTTTCCCGGCCCTTTGTACTCAAAACTAAGCTTTTCAAGTACTTAGCATTCGCGGGTCCCGTGCTACGAACCATCTTGGAGAAAACACTTCCTTCGCTCGAAAGAAGATTTTCGGGAGTGTCGTACTCAATCACCTGTTTTTTCTAGTCATTTTTCAGAAAGTCGACGTAAACAAAGAAAAAGGAAAAAAAAATCGATTCTCTTTCAAAACTATGGAGTATCAATCTGCTACTGTATTTGTCATATCATACCTGACCAGAATCAAGAACGAGAATCCGGTCACTATCGATGATGGTATTGAGGCGATGAGCGATAGTTAGCATCGTGCAAGATTTAAATTCGTCACGGATTGTTTTCTGTATAAGTGCATCAGTCCTTAGATCAACGGCTGCTGTTGCCTCATCAAGCACGAGGATCTTTGATCTACGAAGTAATGCTCGTGCAAGACTCAATAGCTGCCTCTGCCCGACACTAAAGTTCTCACCCCCTTCGAAAACCTTTCAAAAACATCCCAAATAAGCATCTTTTTTTTAATGGATTAATCAGCTAAAACTACAATATGTCCTTTTTACCTCAGCATCCAAGCCTAATGCACTCCTTCTGAGAACATCCTTCAAGTGTGCTCGTTCCAAAGCCTCCCATAGATCCGAGTCGTTGTGCTCGCCAAAAGGATCAAGATTAAATCTAATGGTACCTACAAAAAAACACCAAAAAATCGATAAAACATAACATCGTATTCAAACAAAATGGCTATAAACAGAAGTTCCCATATCCACATGTAGGGATGTTATAGAACCGAACTGTTTGCAAACAAATCTCGCTCGTGTTTGTTTGTGTTCGATAACAGCTCGTTCGTTTGGTAATCGATCTGAACTCGAACATAAAATTATGTTCATTTAGTTATCGAACGAACAAGAACAAGTTTGCGAACAAAAGATATATTTTATAATTTTATATATTATGTAATATAACATTAAATATTGATATATATTAAATAAAATAACTTGTATGGTATTAAAATAAAAAAAAAATATCAACAAACACGAACACGAACTTGTCGAACAGTTCACGAACAAGTTCGACTATATAAACGAACGAACACGATCGGAATTTTTTTTTTCAATTACTAAACGAATGAACACGAACATGTTCGAAAATTAGTCGAACTCGAGCTCGAAAACCTTAAGCTCGTGTTCGGTTCGATTCGATAACAACCCTATCCACATGACGGTGAAACATGTATATATATACCAGAGAAAAGAACAGGTGATTGCGGGATAATGCTGAGGACTCTGCGTAAATCCATCAATCCAAATTTCGCAACATCAAAATCATCGATCAAAATTCTTCCCCTTTCGAGCTCCACTATTCTGAACAACGCGTTAATCATGCTCGATTTACCGGCCCCAGTCCTCCCAATTATGCCGACTTTTTCATGCGGATAAATACCGAACGTTAGCCCCCTCAGGACAGGAGGTAACTCGGGCCTGTACCTTAAACAAACATCCTCAAACTTCACATATCCCAATGCAGGCCATCCGGGAAGGGGACGATTTTCTGCGATCACTTCAGGGGCCTCGGAGGGCAAATCTATGTACGTTCCTACACGTTCGACCGAATTCAAACTGTTTTCGGCTCGACTCGCTTGTCTCAAGACATTGCTCAACAGATTCGTGATGTTTAAGGAATAACTAAGGAGCAAGCCCATAGTAGATGCAAATGCCACCTGGTTTTGAGCTCGGTTGTTTTGCATGACGGCAAAAGTTGCGGTCAGCCAGATCATGAACCCGCCAAGAGTTTCGAGTCTTATGGTTAGCCACCTGTTAGAGCTTATGTTGACCAGAGTGAACCTCGTGTTGTTGTCCATAGACTGGCCGTTTATCTCTGCCAATCGGTCGTAAGCTTTGTATGCTCGTATTGTGGAGAGACCGTTTAGTGCTTCTCCAAACTGAGCGTATACGGGCGATCGGGTGATCGAATCTAGACGCTTTGCTTCTCGGGATGTGCTCTGCAGTTTTATCGGTTACAATATAAAGGGAGAATAAGACTATGTTTGGTAACCAAATAAGATTAGCTTATCGCTTATAAGCTTCCTGTAGTCAAATGAGCTTCGTTTGGTAGGACGGGTGCTTTTACCAATTAGGCTATGTTTAATAAGCTCATTTGAATACAGGAAGCTTATAAGCTATAAGCTAGCTTATAGCTTATTAAACATAGCCTAATTTTATACCTCAAAAATCACTTATAAGCTATAAGTTAGCTTATTAACTGATTTACCAAACATAGCCTAATTGGTATAAAATCCAAGTGTCATATTGCATTATATGAAAAAAGGTTAACCTGGTAATAAAGATATGCGGCGTAAAACAACACGAGAAGAGGCAATATGGCCCATAAAGATATAGGGCTCACAAATCCTATCAGCAAGAAAGTCGATAGCAGCTGGAAAAATTGGCTTAAAAACATGTTGACATAATTTGCGACATTACGGTCGATATCACTGAGATCTTTTGCGAATCTGTTGATTACCCGACCGATAGGGTTAGTATGAAAGAATGCCATAGGAGCTCTGAGTATGGAATGTAGCATCGAATCATGAAGTCTTTTAGAGGCATTAAGGCTCGATGTGATCAACCAAAACGAATTCGTCAGTGTCACTAGCACCTGCGTTAAAAAAAAGTAACATTTACGATAGTATTTGAGTAAATATTACTAAAATGGGAAATTTTCCATCGAGAGAATTAATTACCTGTCCAAACGAGAGTATTGCGTAAATAAGAATATAGAAACCGGGATCATAATTGGTCGATGTGCTCTGTTTCGTCCATATACTCAGCCATGTGCTACTTGAAATTCTCAGAGTTTCTGTTAGTATATAGCATGCAAATAATACCAGTACACCCCACAAGCCCCCCAGAGCATTTTTATACCTGAAACAATGATAATCAGAATAAACAAATAAAAGCAAGCACAAGTATTTTTATTTTTTTCACAAACTATACATCATCATAAACAGAATTATCCCAAATTATCGAAATTATAAAATTTTTTAAAAAATTGACAGAACTCAGTAATCACCTGTTTAAAACATTCCAGCTGACTATCCCAGTTTCTCTCTCCTCCTGCTTGATAAGAACTGATCTGCCTTCTTTGACTTTGCTTGTAGAGTTGTTAACAGCAGTTTTTGGCACTTCATGCACATCCACAGCTCTCGAAAGTGGAGAAGTTTCGTGAGGAAAACTCACGATATCCCCATTATTTTCATGCATTTGTTCTTCCATTTTGCCTGCATTTTCCATTAGTTTCTTGAAAAGTGTGCCGTTTTTGGAGAGCTCCTCGTAGGTGCCTTCCTCTTTCACTGTACCTTCAGAGACCAAAACTATTCTGTCCACTTGGGGAAGAAAATGTAACTGATTAGTGACGAGAACTCTCGTTTTTCCTTCTAGCGCTTCTTTGATACAGTTATTGAAAACCTGGAGGAAAAAAAAAATGCAGTCAATCAACATTCTTATACAAAATATCAGAGGTAAGAAAAAATTCCCAATACAAAGGCTTTGAAGCTGTTGAGAAAAAAACATTAACTTCCAAAACCGTATTACAAAAATAAATAAATAAATGATTCAAATTTCAATATATTAGATCTGGTTTTGATTTAAGATACCTGTCGAGCTACATGAGCGTCTAGAGCGCTTAACGGGTCATCAAATATGTAAACATCTGAGTCAGAGTACACTGCCCGAGCCATTGAAACTCTTTGCTTTTGACCTCCACTAATATTTACTCCTCTTTCACCAATCTCAGTAAGATCATGGCCCTAACGAGATCATAAAATTTAAATTAAAAAAAAAAAATCACATCACAGTTAAACGTAAGACCATGAACCAAACATAAATAATAGTTGGAATTACAAATTTAAGGATATACTCAACTGGAAGCAATTCAAGGTCATGGTTCAATGCAGTGACATCTACAGTCTTCCAATATCTTGTTGGTTCAAAGGATGACCCGAATAATATATTATCGCGAACCTGCAGTTAGCGATTCAGTTGTAAATAAATATTAAAATTTGAAAATAAATTCAACGTGCACAATCTTTTTTTTTAATCTACGGAAGATTTTTTTATCCAGAACATGACAACTAATGGAACTCAGATTCTACATCAAATTAGCCAAAGAAAACAAAAATTGGAATTGAAAGAAAATAAAAAGTATGATTTTGGACAAATTTGAAACTCACTGTAGCATTGAAAATCCAAGAAATTTGTGGCACATAAGCTACAGATCCTCTGATTACAACACTTGCATCGCCAATGGGAGGTAGCTCTCCGAGCATTGCTGAGATTATTGAGGTCTTTCCTTCTCCAGTACCACCAACAATTGCGATTAAGCTGCCAATCGGTACTTGTAAATTAATATTCGATAAAGTGGGTCTTGCCTCCTGTAAAGTAGCCATTCGGTGAATATATAAAAGGCGCGCATGCATTCATATAAGCAAAAGAGTGCTAGAAAATTCATAGTTAAAAATAATGGGATATAAAATAATTCGGAAAAATCTACCACCTGCACAAAAGGTCAAATAATTTATGTTAGAATTGAGTATATTTAATGAAGACCTTAGAATCCCATGAAAAGTTTCCACCCTTTATTGAGATTGCTGGGAGTGTTGGCTCGAGTGATGGATTAGGTGATAAAGATCTCTCCTCGGCAAGCAACAATTCTTCCAAACGCTGTAGAGATACATTTGCATTCACGACCTGAATATTTGGAAAATTATATCAGCATATCGAGAAAAAAATCAAATGAAGTATTTATTAAAAACAGATTATTCACTCTTTAAGGTCTAAGATTTATCTGAAATGGGTGATGATAGTAAGTAGAAAATATAGGCAAAAAATACCCAGTACCTGATTTACATATATGTATACTTAAAGAAAAAACAATTACATAGAACAAACCTGGGTAATTAAATTAGGGAGCATATTCAGAGGCCTTCGTAGAACAGCAAACAACGAAAGAGATGTGAAGGCCCTGGAAGGTGTCAAGTCTCCACCGAGAAAAGTGAACACCCCGAAAGAAATAACTGTCACGAGCACCGGTGCGCTGTTTAGTATGAACGTATTACACTGCAAAAGAGTTAATTCCCAAAAAAGGTCAAATTTTATGGGTACTGCAGTTCATCTGCATTCAAAAACTGATAACACTAAATTTACATGTCTGCAAACAAAAATGACAAAAAGGGCAATGTAACTAATAATAATCATACCGCCGAGAGTAACTGAGATTTTCTGAACCACGACAGCTCATCATCTCTCATCGTTTGCACCTTACACTTGAAACTGTTTTCCCACGCATAACATCTATTGTTGATCGAGCAAAAATTAAAAAAAAAAAGATTAAACCTTATATAAAAACTGAAAAAAAAAAAACGATAGAATACAAGTCTATCGTCTGATTGCATACTTTACGGTATCCATTGCCGCCAAGATTTCGTTCATTAAACCAACTCTCTTGTCAGTACGGAGCAATCCTTCCTTGGATAGTTTTCGCATTCTGCTAATGATACAAGTCTGTTTGCCAGATATAAGTAACTATGTAGAATTAAAGCGGAAAATTACAAAATCAAGAGGCAACTAAAAAGGTAAATGAACAAGATCACACAAGAGAAGCCTAGTCTGGAGGTGGACACTATCAGGTTTTATTTTATTTATTTTTTCATTTATTGTTATTTATATTTAATAAATAAAAGGCAAAGGCAGTAAGAAAGAGCTTAGTTTTACCTGGACAGGGAACATAAGGACTAACATCAGAGAACCGAGAAGCGAAGCTGCACCTAATTGCTGGTAGAGAAGAACCATAGCCACAATAATTCGAAACGGGTATGACCATAAACCATGAAGTTGTTGGCATATTTGCTGAAAAATATGAGCGAGTTATTAGATATTTTTTAACTTCTTTTTTTTTTTTCGTGTATTTAGTCGCATGTTCAAAACATTTGGTTATTTTTCCATCTGTGTGAATGTACCTGAAGTGCATTTGCATCTGTTGTCATCATATTTGTTATTTTTCCAGATGGAAAGTGCTTACGGCTTTCATGTGTTAGCCGTAAGGATTTGCGAAATATGGCAGCCACCTAAGTATTTGGACAAAAGAGTTACAAGACAAAAAATACAGTCTAATATATGCCTTAAGAAGAAAGCATAAGTATTGAAATCTATCTTAATCAAAGTTAACAAAGTGAAATATATAATTGTGTTCTTCATACCAGAGTCGATCTTAGCCGAAAACCGATTCGCATGACATTCTGAAAATAATGAGCCTCACAAAGCACTCCAAGAGACTGAAACACCATTGAAAATTCACATTATAAACCACAATCCAAGATTTTGAATAATTAGCTTTAAAGACACAACCCAGTAAGTAATCGAGGTGGGACAAACATAACTTCCCAACAATTAGCATTCAATCATCCAACTTCTGAGTAATGTGTTAAATAAAAAATACTGAAAAAAAATGCCTGAATATTTCTACAGACTTCATAAGCAAAATAAAACATTACATGTTATGCCTGAATGAAAACTAATATTCTAATACACAAGGACAGCTTATGTCAGTAATATTATGAAAATAAAACCTAAGAACGATCTAGTTTCAGAAATAACAATATCTACTAATGCAAATGAAATAGAATTTTCTAATGGAGATCTTACCACACTTAAGAAAATCGATAGAGCATAGACATAACCAAGCCAAGGTGGATTGCCTCTCTCCAGGGACTGCCAGGAGGATAAAAGTCAATAAGACTACAATTCTACGAGGCAATATCGTGTTCATGGCAAATCATGGAAAGGAAGTAGATTTAGTTTTATTGCCATACATATCTTTTCCAAAACCCAAATACACGGATAAAGGGCCATTTCATCCCAGAAAGGCGAATATATCAGTTGGTAGGAGGTTAGTGGTTAATCAAATGCTCAATAAAGATAGTAAATTGTGTATTTTATCTCTAACATTTAATTTATTGAAATAATAATCAAATATAAAATATCCAGTCTTCATAAGTGGGCACAGCACAAGACTAACTCAAAAAAAAAAAAAAAAAAAATGCATGTTGCAGGGTACCTTTAGAAGATGATTCAGTAAAACAGGTCCCGCAAGCTCGGAAAGATCACTACCAATCTGCAAGATCCCGAAACAATGCTCTTTGATTATGCTAATTATACTGAAACACACATTGGGCTTACAGCTAATATATAGAAAAGGGTGAAGAAAATAGAGAAAACTGGTCATTACTTTGTAGCAGCCTCCATACCAAAACCTGTAGAAGATATTAGGAGCAAGCACGAGACAAGTTATTCAACAATACTATTAACTTTATCAAAACCATGTTCAAAAATATATACACACGCACACACACAAAATTATATATACCTGCCTCCAAGGCTATGATTCAAAGCACGTAAAAGCCATGGTTTTGGTCTTTGAGATTCTTTCACCCAAGAGTACTGGAATCTGGAGACTTCAAAATGAAGAAGTTATGAAGATTAAATTAAATTAAATTTGTATATACGAAAAGAGATGGTAAATCAAACATAGACTTTGTAGTTTGTACACAAAATTTCTGTCTGATCCCATGAGTCCAACTTCCAGACATCCTTTTCGGTTATGGGTTTTTTGTAGCCTTGTCGCATTAAAGGGGTCATCCAGTCAATGTAAATCCCTACACAAGGAAAGATAATAGGAATGGTGTTATAATGGAAGATATATTTTTCAACTGTGAGTATTATGACATTTTATCAACCTCGTTTTTCTAATGCTTCTTATTGTTTTACTAAGAAAATGTCGATATGATGAAAAAAGATAGTGATATTTCTCATCGAGAAAGAAAAAAAATAGTGACATCTTTGTTTTACACCAATGTACTTTAGATTTTTAGTATATAAATTCGTAAAACCTATATTATATAGTTTAATGGCTCTTCATTGAATCGAAGAATTAACAGTTGCGACTTACTGGAAAATATATTAGCATATCTCTCGGGGCAAACGAGCTCCGCTAGAGGCTTATTATCATTTTTGGTGTCATCAACAGAATCTAATAGTGGAATGTAGCCTGGGTATCGGTCCAAGTTTGGAACATAAACTATAAGCATCACCCCAAACAAAATCTGCACAACTTAAAAGTGTCATAGAGAGAACGAAAAAGTTAAACTTGGAACTCTGCAAGTCACATTATGTTCACAATTAAGAAAAAAAAAAAGTTGGGACGAATTCCCTTCACTTGGACAAAAACTAATCTACCTGGAAGAAGACTGAACTTATATACAAGTACAGAGTAGACCTGCAATTCCAGGGAAAATCACATTTGGTTAAATTCTAAATTTTGACATTTTTATATAGGAGACACACAGAGAGGCAGCACATTTAATTACAAAAAAACAACCATAACTGATAGTAATAAAAATCTAAAAAATAAAAAGTTTATTCTCTGCCTACAAAAAACCCCCACAGGTCCATACTTACTGCAAGTACCTCCGACAGAAAAAATCATACCAAGTTCACCATATATAATATCATGAAGTCAGTCACATTCACATGGATTAACTAACTATTACCTATGTCCTGAAAATTCAGCATGACGTGTCGATAGTTTCTCAGTGAAGAACAACATTGCCAGCATTCAAGAACTTACTAGGCACTTCTATGCTAGAACTCAATTCTGTTAATTTCTTTCTAGAACAGTTGATCATATTTTTTTGGGGTATTGAGCAGTTTATGTGATTATTTTTCAATTATCAGTGTCGGAGTGCACAAATATTAATAACCGAGTTTTCAAAAGTGAATGTTATAAAAGATCCCACTTTGGGGTGTTTACAAATTCAAACTTCAAAGCATATATGACCAAGGTGAGGGATGGAGAGACTAACCTGGCATAGTAATCTTTGAATTGGAAGATGAAATTGCAAATAACTGAATCTCCCACTAATACATATATTACTCCAAATCTTACATACCATCTGAACTCTTTGACATATACATTAGTTTCATGAAGTAGCATAACAACCATAGAACACCATGAGATAAACTCGATGCCCAAATGAACCATCTGCAGAGCCAAACAAAAAAAGAAAACTTTGTGTATAAACAACACAGGAGAGAGAGAGAGAGAGAGAGAGAGAGAGAGAGAGAGAGAGAGAGAGAGAGAGAACTATAAACATTAGCCAGATAACAACGAGATACCTCAAAAGGAGCAAATCCCATCTCTTCATCCAAATTGAATAGTGATATCTCCTTGACCAATCTGAACAACGGCTCAGCAGCACAACAACTTGCTAAAAAGGCCAGTGCATAGTTGTAGAAACTTGTTCTCAAGCAGAACCTTTGGACTTTTGGGTTGAACTTGATCAGCCACATTCTATACAAGCACAAACCCAAAAGAACCAAATGAGAAACATTCCCAACAATAGAGTCAACGGCACAAGGCGTATATGCACCAAGTGCGCTGTCTGTCTCTCGAGCCCAAATCGCATTTGTCGATGGCCGGCAAAACCATACTAATGGTTTAAAACCCATCTTTCTGACTATCAGCCAATAAGATTATGACAGCCACCTTCTGCAAATCAATTTCTTGGTCAGTCCCTGAAGACACAACACTAAATATGGTTTTCAGCACAATCGGAAGTATTACATAATATCTTCAATACCCAGATCATATCACTCATGCGAAACTAATTAATTTGGAACGATACTTAAAAAACAAAAACTGCTCCAATTTCATCCTCAGGGGAAAAGAAGGAACAGGAAAACTACAAATAGCTAAGACAGAGCTCATTGATCATTCAAACAGTCAATCAAAACCTCCCATTGAATGAAATGAAAATCAGTGATTGTTTTACTTGTAAGCAAAGTCCATTATCATAAAATCAAAGTAACCTATTTAACAGCCACGAGCTGAGAATCTTTATCGTCCAAGACGAGAAAAAATACGCAAGAATCTAACGAAAAAATCAAGCTTCAAAGTTAAAACATCCAAAACAAAGATCACATTTTGAGCATATCCCCACATCCAATTCTTATCCAGAACTATCAACGAATGAATGCTACCCAATTCTAGAGTTATGACATACCACCAGCGTGAAAGGAACACTTTACACAGCAAGAATCTAACGAAAACATCGAGCTTCAAAGTTAACCATCCAAAACAAATATTACATTTTTTAGCATATCCCACATTCAATTCTCATCCAGAACTCCCCATAATTTGTCAGAATACCATATTTGCATTTGCTTACATCAAAACGCCCAGCAAAAATCATGACAACCTTATAAAGAATCAATTTTTAACACAATTGCTGTACCTGTACGAGGAGGAACGAGAACTAACAGAAACCAGTCGAAACTTCAGTTCCACAAAATGGGTCAGCCTTGGCCTCTTTTTGTTCAAAGAGAAGCAAACAACAACACACTCAGGTTCAGAAGCTCTTTGCATGAAAACAAGAAAGCTCGCATCACCCATTGGTTAAAGACTAATAAAAGGACAAATCTTGTGAACAAATGGAGTGAGTGCTACAGATCCTGAAACGAACAAGACGACATACAAAAAACGAACAAAAACCAAGGGACCAATTGGAGGCGTGTAGGCGTCATTGCTTACGAAATTGTGCGATAGTCTGTGGAGAGGACGTACACAAAGAGCCATAGAATTTTTTACCAAAA